ATTGAGTTTGAGCTTGAACTCGAGGCCTTTGATGTACTTGACTTCATCTATAAGATACAAAACATATAATAAGCAAAGGTACAGATGCACATGCAAAGTCGAATGCCATAATAAACGAAGTACGATCAGCAAACTTGGAGATTTTGTAGAATCGAAATTCAGTAAACAAATGTTCCCAATGATAAAGTTTGACGTGTCAAGCACCATGGATACCCACTGTTTACAAATGCACATGGTGGACTCAACAAATGGAGAATACCCTGAAGGATTAACAGTTTCTTTCATTGGGCAAGACAAGGCAAGTTCAATCATGAGGATAAAAAGTTTTCTTCTCATGTTGGGCAATGACAGCAAGCACACTTCAATCCATGGATCAAAGCAGTTTTTCCATTTGGGCAATACAAAGCATCACATTCATTTAATGGTGTAATGGAAATTCTAGTTAGACTTTGAAAATGGTAAAAGTGGAAATTAGGCCATAAGGTACAATGCATTTCAATATTGCATAGGGAACTTGTCATAGTCCTTCAGTTAAATGTATTGGGAAATAGGCATAGTTACCACTCTTTCATATTGCATTAATGGAAAATTAGGCATGTTGTTAGAAGGAAAAAAATTTTTGTGTGGTGAATTCAAATAATAGCTTCTCCATCAAAGCACACCATTCACAATACTTTTCTACTCCAAATGGAGAAATTCCCCATCTTGAGCTTTGAAACTCTAAGCTTCAGCATCCAAGATAGGCTCTTCGTTTCTTGTTAATCCTCTTCAAGATCAAGCCCCGCCCTGAAGAAGTGTCATCGTTCTCAAGATCAAGCCCACGGCCCTTGTCAACAGACAAACAAACCAACATCAATCGTCTCCAGATTAGCCAAAAGCCCTTGAGACGTCTCCTCAACCTCAAGATAGCGCAGAAATCCACAAACATATCAAGATCGCCCCGCGCCTTGAGAAATGTTCACGTTATCATAGCATCTAGACAAGCCCGACACCTTGATCACACTCAACACAAACCTACACCCTAGAAGATAGAATCGAGGACCAATTTGAGAGAGATCGTAACCCAAATATAACACAAAATATATACACGTTAGGTTTTGTTCAAGGAAGTTTCGGTTCACATTGTTTGAGCCGGAGTGGTTATTTAATACCCTAGTATTGTGAGTAGTCCGTATCTAATAATATTTCTTTGAAAAAAAAAAAAAAAAGTACATGTCAATACACGGTATATCTAAATTTACATTCTTTATTGTAATTTTTAATAATTCAAACTTGAAATATAATTCTGGAGCATCAAAAACTGCGGTAAAAAATATAAGTTCCAATTGCACATTTCCCTAGCGGCATGCGTCATTTATGAAGGTAAAGAATTGTGATGTATTAAGAAGCAGATTGACTTGGGTAGAACCATTCGATGGGCATACAGAAAATCAGACACTTGGGGTTTTCTTTCTTATTAACAGAAATATCAGATCATCAGGCATTAACAAACAGAGGCACAAAGACATTGCAGTGCAGAACCAATGAATACCTCAACGAATAGTCTAGAAATGAAATTACCCAATGTTTATAGCATACCCAATAGAAATGTCTAAAAAATCTATTGCAATGCATAACCAAAATTACATATTAGAACCAATGTTTATAACCAAAATTAGAAATGTCTGAATAAGGTTACACAAAGTCTATTGCAGTGCATGCATACCCAATGTTTATAAACCAAAATTAAAACAATGGTTATAGCAATATAGCATACCCAATAGAAATGTCTACAGATTAGAACCAATGAAATGAAAAAAAAAAAAAAAAAAAAAAAAAAATCTGCACAAAGCATCATAGTTCATAGTAGGGTGACTGGGTGAGAAACTAACCTTGCAAATGAGGGAATTTGTGGGTCAAGACTGAAGACTCGAAACGGTAAGAGGAAGTCGTGGGTCGTGCACGGGTCACGGGGGTGAGAGACTGAGAGTAAGACGGTGTCGCGTCAGCGAGATGTGTGAGACAAGTCGCAGGCCGCTGGGAAAGAAGAAGACAAAGCAGAAGAGTGGCGGAGCTGGCAAAGAGATGGTCCAGAGTAAGAGTGCAGATGAGAGGGATAAGGGAAAGGGAAGGTCAGAAGGGAATATATCTGTTTAGTGTTTAGGGTTTCACTTTCAGACTGAAGACTGAAGACGAGAGTGATTAGACGACGTCGTTCAAGATAAAAAAAAAATTATTAATTTATAATTAAATATAAAACGACGTTGTTTTGCCTTACTTCGGTTCGGTCCGGTTTTACACTTTCGGTTCCGTTTTTTTCAGTTTTCGGTTTTTCGAACCCACCCCTAATTGCTATGATAAGTTATGTCTATTCATCATAGTTGGGTTCAATCTTCTCCAATCCTCATCTTCTTAATAGTTAACTATTTAACCTAGTTATGCTATCATTTATAAAAATAAAATAAAAAGTGACATTTCGATTATGGTCAATTTAATAGTTAGTCGTAACCAAAAGTGCTTACTTCTTTGCTCGTTCTTGTAGTGACATTTGTGGGAAGAACCGATTGGTTCTTCAATGAATGTGGATATTAAATTTCTTTGGAAGGCTATTTGGCGAGCTAAGGTCCCAGGTAAGGTTAAAATTTGTATTTGGCGAGGTTGTTGGAATGCATTGCCCTCCAAGGTGAATTTGCGAAGGCGGATTGTATGTTTTGTGATAAAGGTCCAGAGACAATCTAGCATGCTCTAGTGTATTATGTTGAGATATATCAACAATCTGTGATAAATTTATTTATGCTAATAAATAATAAATGGGAATAAATAATAATAGAGTATGAATAAAACGAAATAACATTAAACAGATAAATTGAAGATCGAGGCTTGCGTACCGCAATGTTCTTGAAACAGAAATTTCATCCCTACTCAATACTTGTAGTTCTATAGACGTTTGCTTTATCAGGATTCAACAATCTAAGTAAGAATTCTGGCACTAGAAAACTTAACTTCTGGTGAATTTCTTTGTGGTTCTCTCAGCAAGAATGTTTGGGATTGTAGAAGAAGAATTTGATATTTCTATGTTCTAAATGTCATGCAGATGGATGTATATATAATAGGTTTCTGTCAGTTCGTAACATGAATGACAATGAGATGTGTCTGTTGGGATACATCTTCTCAGAGAGGTGCTTTTCTCTCTGCGTTCTTTTATCACTTATGACTTCATCTAAAAAATGGGTATGCTGATATAAAAAATAATTAATTAATTAAATTCGAAATTAATTAAAAATAATTAGCTAAAGAATTTAATTATTAGAGCTCAAGCCCCAAAATCCAAGGTCCATCTTTTGATAATTAATTATATATTAATTATTAATTAAACAATACATCTCAAAGCTCAACTCCAGGGTTGAACTCAATTTTATGTTCATCACTTCAATCACTTTCTAGAAGGGACAAAGCCTTATAAAGTGAGAGAACATTTTGGTAGTGATTAATGTGGGACAATGAAATTTCTACTCAAAATTTCCAACATATTCATCCGTTGCAGAGTATTGAAGAACGTTTACTTGGGTGGTTGTCACATTTGGTGAAGTTGTTATCAAGGGAGATCTTTGATTTGATTTTAGATATGATGTGGCATATTTGGAAGGCTCGAAATGAATTTTTATGGAAGGAGTGGCATTGCCACTGCCGAAATTCAACTTCAAGCTCAAGCATGGCTGCTTGAATATAAGAAATGGAATGAGGTAAAGCCTAAGTCTATCCCAGCCGAAGTTCAGAGATGGAAGTGGCCAGAGGAAGGTAGGATTAAATGTAATTTCGATGGTGCTTGGGATGAAATGGGGGATGTGGGAGGCGTTGGGATGGTGGTTAGGAATGTGGAAGAGAATTCTTAGCAGCTTCTGCATTTAAGTTCGATGGCATCACAACGCCGTTACTGGCCGAGGTGACTGCTGCTCGTGAAGCAGCTTTGTTTCTGCAACAATGGCCCGCTGCAAATGTGGAGATGGAGGGGGATGCCCTTATGGTTGTTTCGGCAATCCGGGAATCCTACTCAAGGTCACGGCCATAATGGTCCTTTTGGACACCTACACGGAGGATTCTACAAAATGTTGGACAATGGAAGACTACTTTCGTCCCAAGGGATGCCAATAAAGTGGCTCATTGCCTATGTAGATTAGGCCTAACTTTAGCTCACCCGTGTCTTAGTTCGAGGACCCTCTTGATGTAATTTTAGATCTTTTATTAGAGGGTAATATTAGCCGTTAAGTTGTTAGGTACATGATGCCTTTTTTTCGTTCGATCGGGTTGAAATCTCGGTAAGATTTTTATCGAAGCTCGTTTATGCCCCTGTTTGTACATTTTCTTCCCTATTCAATAAATATCGTATGACTTGAAAAAAAAAAAAACAGTTAGTCATATGGCCGCGGTTAAAACAGTCAAAAAAAGAAAAAACCGAACCTTAAGTCATCTCCAACTGAAGGTTAGCCAGAGGGCTCGTTTTAGCCCTCTGGCCCTCCAAGAAATTAATATTTTAATGAACAATACATGGCCATATTTGCCTCCATCTCCAACCGAGGGCCAAATGGCCATATAGCTTGTTTTATCTTTGTCACAAAAAACCTTTTCCAACGGAGGGCCAAATGGCCAAACATAATTTATTATTTAAATTTAAAAACTACAACAACTTAAATTTAAAAACTACAACTTATATTTAAAAAATACAAATTCAATTCATAAATAAATAAAAAAAATTGGCCCAAAAAAAAATGAATCCAACGGTAGTTAGCCGTTGTATTTGAAATTTTGGCTTACCATTCCTGTCGGATATAACCCATATGAATAATGAAAATTCTGGCCCAATCCAGGGCTGGCTACTTTGGACCAGCCGGTTGACCCTTTGGCTTTTTTTGGTCGAGTGGGATCCACGAGAGCCAGCTGATTGGCCCTGTGGGCCTTCTTTGTCCCACGAACTCTTTAACTTAATCCTCGATTGAAGATGATTTTCGAGTTATTTTCGATCCTTTGACGACATTGGAGATGAGCTTACGAACCTTCTTCCAATGGACATAACATAAGCAAGCACGCCAAAAAGCTTAAAACTTTACGCAAACCCCCAAAATTAGACAAATTCGACTTAGGGTTTTTTTTCTAATTTTCCCCAAATCCCCAAATCGAATCTCAAATCCTACCCATAAGCAGAAAGATGGCGAATATTTCAGATTCTTTGAAAGGTAAAAAACGCCCGCGAGAGACAGACACTGAACCCCCAACCGGCGATTTCGATCAGATTCTGTCACTAGGTATCTAAAAGGGATGAAAATTTATATAATTTACACTTTTAATTGATGATTTTTCGGTATATGAACATCTGGGAAATGTTTTATTGCATTTGGGTAGTTAATATTAATCAGAAGTTTTAATTTTGGGGAAATGCAGAGGAAAATCTTACATTCAGCGACACGTTGGTGGCGCTTCGGATAATGCGAGCTCAGTTTCCGAACGACGAAAAGGTTAGGATTGTAAATTTCTTATTTTGATATGATTATTTTTTCAAGTTTCAGAGTTCACAAGCTGCTGAGTTGATTGAATAGTTGTGAATTTGTTGTTGTTTTTCTTGTTTCCCTAGTGTTTGATACTGTTCATAGTAGTGGTTAGTCAGTTATATTCGTTGGGGTTAATTTTATTTTTGTTTTATTTATTCGAGCGATATTATAATCCAATATACAGGGGATTCGAACTTGGGTATAGAGGGGGAGCATACTGCTTTAGCCAGCTTGGCTAGGTTTAAGATAATTTTATTTATGTTTTCTGAATACGGTTAGTTTGATTCATGCCTTTTGTTCAGGTAACAGTTGAGCCTTTCATTTTGCGGTCACAGCTGTATAGCAGTGTGGAGGATCGAACACAAGTGGACCGGGATCTAGAGGTCTGTGAGAACTTGAAAGAAGATAACTGGAAATGTGTTTGAATACATATTTAATCTGTGTTTTCTGATAAGAGTTAATTATGTTGCTGTGAACCCCTGTTGCTCATGAATTGAATCAGTGGTCTTAGTTATTGATCAGAACATATGGAAGTTATTCTAAAATTTGTCATATATTTGTATTTTTTACGGAGAACATGTGATTCCCAAGTTTAAAGTGGACACCTTTTTTTTTTTTTTTTTTTATCTTCAGCAACGGTAGTATTTGATTCTAGGTGCTTGGAACAATGTCGCTTTAAGATAGTTGGCACCTCCGGCAGTTCAGGAGTTTCTTATGACTAATCTTGGTTACTTTTATTTTCTTGTGCAGACTCTAAAAAGAGAGAAAGTGCTACGGGTTTTTAAATTAAATACTGGACAAGACGATCATGCAATAATGTTTGTGGATGACTATTTTCGCCAGGTTTGTTTACATGAGTTTTTAGATGATTATTCAGAAGCATGATTGCATTTTATCATATATTTTCTAAGTTAGATGGAAAAAGTTGATGAACTTCTTCTGTCTGTAAATATATGTAGATGGAAAAAGTTGTGAAAAGATTCGAAGAAAAGGACTGAAGATATTGTTGAAGTTTTTAAGTGGTTTAAATCACACGTTATTGATTGCAAGCTCGAACCCAGTATTGGACATCAAGATCTTGTGAGTGATTGGAATATCAAACTACCTGGAACTTGTATTTGTTTTCATCTCTGTTTATTGCTTTTTTTTTTACCCTTAAAATAGTGCTGTATCGATGTACTTCTCAGAGTTGAAGGGTTCTTTTAAAGCACTTAACGTGCTAAAGCAAGATAATGATTGAACAAGTCACTCTTTAGATACTATACAATAAATTACAATCCAACTGAAAAATTGTTGCCACAGTGTACATTATTATCTGGTGGAGGAAAGGTGAAGGATGAACACATCTCCCTTTTGATCAATTCTGGCCTTCTGGTAAGCGAACTTTTACTTATTCATTAGTATATTATGTTGCAGCTGTTTTAATTCCCTCATTGATTATGGTACATTCTGTGGTAATGTTGTCTGCTTAGGTCGGAAACTAGTGAAATGGTTTACACTAAACATGATTTGATTATATCTTTCCTCTTAAGGTTTATTATGCAGCTCCTTTTATAGGGAATGCTTCCCCATAGTTCTGTTTATTGGGTTCCTTTTGAATATCTTTTATGATGTCCAGCTTTCTAACTATGGAATCTACTTCTAGACTCGGCAACTTATTGATCCAAACGTTTACTGGTTCGCAATTCCAAATATTGGTTCAGTACTAAAAGGACTCTCTCAGGTATATAATCAATTTCTCACTGTATATTTGTAGATTAAATTCACTGAAGACATACATGTATCTTTTGCAATTTGTACCTCATGTAAAAGTTAAGGTATTTATCCGACTGGAAGTTTTCACCCTTGATATAAGGTTAACTTTGTATATTTGTAGATTAAATTCACTGAAGATATATATGCATCTTTGCAATTTATACCTCATGTAAAAGTCTAAGGTTTTTATCCGACTCGAAGTTTTCACCCTTGATGTAAGGTTAACTTTGTAAACTCTTAGGCTGGTAGATTAGAGACATAGCATTTGGTACATGAGTATTGGATGTTAGCTTCCATGGCCATTCAACACTTAGGGAGATTGAGTTTTATCTGGCATTTTCCTGCAAATTTTTAAGTTTGAACAGGAAAATTGTCCAAATTTTGAATCTAGTGTTCTCTTTGTTCAGGGAAGAAAGGAAGTTCTCTCTCTTCTAAACCGGAGGAGATACAAAGAAATGATGATGGCCCCTTTAGAGAAGAAGGCTCTTCGATTTTCTCCGCTTGATATGAGATTTCACCTCCGTGATCTGATTGGCTCAGGTCATCTCAAAACTTCCAAGACACCGACAGGCTTAGTTGTTCGAGTCTCAAAAGATTGAAGAAAAAGGAATAATAGGAGCAGCCCCGTTGATTCATAAGATTGTTGTACTTCTTTTGGCTGTCTATCTTATTATAGGTACAGTAATGTAGGCTTTGAAGTGATTGCCTTACAGCGCCGAATATATGTTCTACTGGTTACATGACCAGAATTTTTGCAGGTCATCCGATGTGGACGAACAAAGACATCGTATCAGCAAACCGATCCAACCCAAGAGCCTAAGCATAAAGGATAGAAGATCTGCTAGGTCTTGCCTTATTCCTTTTAATCTGTTATTTCTTCAGTTCTACAGCATCCATGTGAATTCATGCTTAATTCATCTCCTCTGATTTGATTATCGATATTCTGTAATACGTCATACTTGAAAGCACAGTAGGTTACTGCAATACCGTAGAATACACCAGGAGCTCCTTTTGTTACACATCTCACTGCTATTACCGAACTACTACCTACGATGCTTTATCCCAGTAGTTCTATTCTTTAAAGCTCCGGAGAGCTATATTTTCAGCAAACCTCAATCGAACATTGGCATCACATTCTCCATGGAATTCCACCATAAACCACTGCAATGCCACAACCATCCCAACCCTTGCATATCTCTGGTGAGGCTTGAGGCCAAATAGAACCACCAGGTTTGTAAGTCAATTTGTTCGGGAAGAAAAGGCCGCGCCGTGCCTCTCTGAATCTCAACGTGCTTATTCAGTTTTCACCAAAACCTCATCTTTCTTCAGAGTATGTGGGATGTCGAGGCAGCGGAGCTGTCGCAGAGGATCTGAAAGCACCTGGTCCGACTTCGAGATACAACAGTTGGCGACATACTCCATCGGTTTAATATTTCAAGTAGTTTAACATGCTAGACTTAGCAGGCTAGGGCAGGTGAACTGATAACCTTCCATATCCTGCCTTTGTGGAATTGAAATCTGGGCTTTTCCCAAGAGTCTCATTTGTCACTTTATCCAATTGGATGTGAATCATAACAAATGGACAAGGACTAATATTAGTTGTAGGACCAATAAAAATACCGACAATATGTATCAGATACTATAGATTGACATTAGGTATTAAAAGTATTCACTGTTTTGTGGTTCTTTAATCCGTCCTCTACTTTCGAATTAGGCAAAAAAATTTAATTTCTTCCTTCAACGTGACTTCCAATCTGATCCTACACTCAAGGAGCCTTTAGAGTTCTTGGGAAACAAGCTTTGTCAGGTGATTGTACAATTTTCAACAGTTAGGTGTGCTTTTTGTACTTACTAATACATGTTTGGTGATCAAACATGAACGTTTCATGGAAACAGAAAAACCAAGTTAGCGTTTTAGTGGGTTCTTGCAAACTTGCAGTATTCTGGTGCTGCTTTCGGCCGGTTAAATCAATATTTATGTCCGGATTATGACATGAACAGATCAGATTTAAACTAATCTTTTCTCATGTTAACATCGGTTGCTACTTCAACTTCAAGAATGGAGATATTCTCGACGTAATCTGAGAGGGTCAATTATATAATCTTGATCGTTAATCGTGTTTGAAGATCGAAATACACAAGGTTCTATTATTGTGTCCATGCTAGTTTAAGGAAAACGTTATTAGATACGCAGTCGTGATGCATTTGATATTCATACGATTTAGTGTCCATTATGTGTGGATGGATTCCACAAGATTGTGTATTAGTGCATAAATGCAGGCCAATAGCGTATGTACCAGGATTTAGTGCGCCCTCCCTTTCTTTCTCCACAAGTGACGTAACAGGAAAAAATTTCTCCTCGTGTACTATATCGTAAACAACTTGTACAAAAATAACTGGTAATGTAGGATGACCAAAACCAAAAAAAGTAGGATCGATTTTCATGAAGCACACAAGAACTAGAATGGAAAGCATATTTCTCTTTTTCCATGCAAAATTGTGTGGAGAGGGTTAATTTGGTTGGGCCAGGTTTTGGTTCACCTCCAAATCCAGAAGAAGAGTTAGTTGGTGCTCGTGTCTTTTGCATTTGGCATTGACAAAACAAATTGGGTAAGAATTGTCCAATTGAGATTATTTATGTTGGGATGCAATGTTTAATTAATTAAATATCTTTAATTAAGTAACTAGCAGAATCTTTGGTTTACTTGTGGCAAGGCAATTATTTGGTTAATCTTTACTTTAACAATTTATGTTTGGATCATAGCCCCTGGATTTGGACCTAATCCGCCAGAATTGCCGACATGGGAAATTCTTTTGGAGAGATTTAGTGCAAACTTGGACGTCAACCGATCATTGTCGTCTTGTCATCCTATTTGTTCCCTTCTGGTTAGAAGATTAACCCTCAAGTTGAATTATTTGGACTACAGATCTGCATCTAATTACTTCGTATTGTTCTTAATTTGGAGATTATTATGATTATTTATTTCCCTAACCACGATTTGGAGATCTTAGGGACTTGGAAATAAATCACTTAGGGTGCGTTTGTTGCACCAGACTATCTCAGACTGAACTAGCTTCAGGAACTAAGCTGGACTGACTTGGACTAGACTAAGCAGGACTAACTTAGTGAAGCGTTTGGTGTAGTATCGGATTAGAAGTAGGATAATAAAAATAATAATTCTTTTTTTTCTTTTTCTATTTCTTTTTCCTGCCTGAAACCTCTATTCCCTCTCCTTTTTTTTTTTTTTTCTGTCCAAACTCCATAGATTCCGATCATAGCTTTTCCTTCATTTCAATTGATAAACCTCTCTGTCCAAATTCCAGTACTTGTAACCACATCTTTCTCCTCCATTTGAATCGATAAAGCTCCCAAAACACAAACAATTAGAAAATCAATTTCAATCGAAATCGAAATTGCAATTGCGTTCCTTGTATACCCAACGACACTCTGATTCTAGCAGGACGAGGAAAGAGAGGGAGAGGACGTGATCTGGGTTGGGTCGTGCAGATCGGCTTGGCATCTAGCAAGACGAGGAGAGAGAGGGAGAGGACGTGATTTGGGTTCGGGGCAAGGAGAGAAGGAAAGGAAGCAAGCATTAGTCAAAAACGAGAGCAAAGACAGGACGCGAGAGCAGAGACAGAGGGAGAGGGAGAGACAGAGAGATGAGGAACGGCGAATGAGGCAATGTTGTGAGGAATGAGTTCTTAGCAATCCCATGGTTTAACGCGAGACTAATTTGGACGACCTAACGAGGCCCGGAGTCCACAGGAGTCCAGGCTAGTCTCATTTAAGTTAGTCCCCAAGCATACCAAACATGGGACAACAATCCTAGCCAGTCCAATCCCACTTAAGAAGGTGAAACAAACACACCTTAGTGATCAAATAGTTTGACAAAGAACTTCTGACTAGTTAGAAATTATATATATTAAATAAATAATTGTTATTCAGCTAATTCAGTGTATTGATCCATGTATCCAATGTTCTATCTTTGAATTCTCCTCCCTCAATATCACTTGTATTTATTAAAAAAAAATCTCTTATAAAGTTTAATATTTGAAGTTAGAATGACATGTGTACAAATAAATTTAAGAGAAAATTGGTCAAATATAGCTAGGGGATTATGCCAATTGAAAGAATCGAATCACAAAGCTAAAAGCGCTTGACATCACTAATTAAATAATTGAGAATCTTCCAATTAGCAATCTCAGGGTTATATTAATGAGGAGTTAGGAAATGATTCTGATCAGTGGGTCGTATTCAATCACAATTTGGGGATACATTCGTTGTAGGAGTATTTATGCAAGCTTCCTCTTGGCAGCGTTTCAATAGTTTTCTGCACACTCAAGTGATTAATTAATCTGTTAATTAATCTCAATATTCTAGCTTAATTATTCAACTGCAAAATTAGTCATGCAAGTAAACTAACAACACGGTTCCATTATTAATCAGAATATATAATCGGACACCTTACCTTAAGATAGATCTTTGACATGTATGTGACACTTTTTAGATATATTATTAATTTCTTATAGATTAAGACTTCTGAGTACATAATTGCTATTAACAAACCCTAGAGCTAGATAGCTCAAAGAAGATAACATGACCACTACGCATGGCAAAACGCAATACCTAAAGAGAATCGCAATTCATACTAAAAACGTAAGAAAAACAGAACATACACGAAGTAAAGCAACATGACGACCATTAAAAAGAAGAAGAGAAACGTGCATGCAACCCTCTTTTTATCTCTTCTCTCTTTAGGCTTGTGTCTAACTCGTTTCATATAAGTTATTATGCCTACAGTAGAATCTAAATATGAATAATAATTAACATGAAATAAGGATGTTATGTTAGTCGTATCTCGATTCGACTCAATAACATAACGATAAGTTGTTCATCTGATGTGATCTCTCCCCTCCAACCTCTCATTTATGGACATGTGTTGTTGTGATGTGGACTTGGATACAACAGACATGGCTCCCATGCTAAGTAGCTAGCTTCCTCCCAAACATGACCTGAACTGAATGTCACATTTTTAGGGTGTAGATTGCTGATTATTTTGGATGTTATAGTCCATGCAGGCATGTGTATCAGGTAGCTGGGTTGGAAATCCATGTTTGATCGAGCTATCTTTGGCAGAAATAAGTCCGAAAGTGATTATGTACTCTGGTCCAAACAAGTTTTCTGGTAGTGTAGGTCAACACGAATATAATATTTACGTACATAGTCATTGATTGCATTAATTGTTCATGCAGACACTTTTGGACTTAGACTCAGTCTTAAGGTTGAACTTACGATATTATCTACATTAACGGATAAGAAGTAAGCTTAGTTTTACAATGGACTAATAATAATATGATTTAAATTGATCTTTAACAAAGATTAAACTTAAGACCTTTCAATTACAAATAAAGATAAATACTACTACACCATAGTATTAAGTGACTACTTGGACTTGGACTTGAACTTGATATTTAAATTACAACAAAGTTAGTATTACTCTTAACATTTACTTTGTTTAGTGTTTTATAACCTTTTCATAGGATGATGAGAGTTCAGCCACGTATACATGACCGTAAAGTTGAGGACAAAGATCTTCTCCAGATCCTCTTTATGGGAATTCAAAGATCAATCAATCATATTTGTTCATTGTACATCGTACGGTTAGTTTTCGTTAGATACTATTTCTATTTAATTTTAAATTAAAAATTTTTAAATAATTTATAACTGCACGATGTACGATGACAAACACAATTGATTGATTATCTGAATCCTCATAAAAAGGATCCAGAGAGGATCTTATTCCTAAAGTCAAGATTAGGGTTGGGTTATTTATTTATTAATTTATACTATGATATATTTACATCGAAAAAATTTGAAATTTGAGTTAAGTCACAAAATGATAACTTTACTAATTCATTTACGAGAATCCTAGCCCAAAAGTTTTCACTATCAATAAATCATGGTAAAAAGTGACAGTGTGTTAAGTTTAATTATTTGGCCGTCCCCTGTCTAAAT